AATGGTCACTCTGCATTTGCAGAGACTGACAGAAAGGGGTTTGAAGGACCAACCTCTTTTGAAACAGTAAACCTGGTCAGTTGCCGTAGAGAACGTCTAACCCAAATGACCAACACTTCCCACCGGCTATACCTCCATACTGGTTGCCAAAGCACGTTGCCTAAGCCACAGCCAGGATCGCCCGCCGCGGTAGGATCCACGCAGCCGCTGACGGCATAGTAGCCACTCACCGTTCCAGTGCCCTTCACAATGCTCACGTTGTAGCCAAAGATCTCCTTCCGTGGGTCGTGTCACCCTCCACCAACTTACTTACACTCAAATGGTGTCTAGTAGCGATGGCCTCCAACCTACTAGCGATGGCCTCCAACTTTACACTCAAATGATTTCAACCCTTCAAAAATTGCCAAACACACGTTTCGAACAACTCGTTGTTGACAGTGTTTGGATCATATGAAACGGACTAAATAGTTTCTGCCTCGGCCCGACTACTTCTTGAATCGATTGAGGTGTCCAAAAAAGTAACTGTAAGTGAATCCGTGGTGACTGGTATTGCATTCCAACCAGACCATCTGACCAGAAGAGGTTTCGCGCGTCACAGATTTGACAGTGGTGTTCTCAGTGTTCTCCGTTGGTCACCGCCAGGATGCAGGGCCTGGACCCTGACAACAGAAGACTCTTTGAGAGAGCGCGCATCAAACTATGAGAGATAGTTGAAACCTGGTTGTCTTGCAAAGTGCGATGAGGAATCATGAGCAATGTCAAGGAAAGGTTGTTCATGCTTTGCCCCCGCTGTTAGTAATACAAAGACTCCTCCACGATTGTTGCCACCAAAACATTGGCTGCCCATGATGCAGCCCAATCCGGAACGAAGATGCCAACAGGATAGGAGTCCCCATGTTCATTTTCCTGAGACAAACATATCTTTGCAGGAAAACCCGCGAGAGAATCGAATTTGCTTTTCCACGCGAGTAACAAAGTAATAAGCATGTTCGCGTGGGAATGGAATGTGTTGTTTAATTCGTGCAATCGTTTGCTACATGGAAATGGAGAGCTGCTCATCATTGCAGCTGCCACAGGGGCCTGCTGAGCAATTCTGGGACGTTTTGTTTGGAAGTTGCCTTGGTTGTTAGTTACAACGCTTGAGATATCTTGAGATCATTGGAAAGCTGGCAATGTCCAACTGAGGAGACCTTAAAGCAGTATGGCCGAATTGGAAGCTAAGGGTATGGCAAAGTTCTTCCGCTCAGAGGGCGGGACACCACCATCAAGGCACGTGCCACACACTAAAGGCACCAACAAGCCTCGGCATCAAACACGGCCGTTTGTATGTTTCGTGTTCAGAATCTCGACTCAACAACCAACTCAAAAATGTGAAATATTGTGCCCGCAGTGCTGACCAACACAACAAATATCAACTTCAACTTGGGTACCTTTCCCTGACCTTGTTGTTTAGTACATATTCCTGCCAATTTACAAAGTCAATGACGGAATTGTCAAAACACGGTCAAAAGCTGAGATTCTGATCACAAAGCTTCGCATCGTCATCGCAAGTCTTCGCAGGGCAAATATTGTTACCAGGCTGCTTTCTGCATTCAAGCACAAATGCTGCAAATGGGATTTGCAAGTGCATATGTTTGGCACACTTGCAGTTAGAATGGCCAGAATGTGGAAAACACCCAAAGACCCACAATCAACGACCAAACAAAAAAGATATATTTATATATATAGTGTTCAAAAAGAACAGGCGTGTAAACGCAATCTTGTTCAATGCATTTTTCCCACTAAATCACGCCCAAAAACCAGCTCGCACACACCACCAAACACAACCGCAGCGCGAAATAAGTGACCTGGCATCAAAAATGCACTGGTCAGCACCGGAATGTCTTATCCAATGGAAACTGAGGCGGAGAAACACGTCGCGAACAGTTCAGGGAAAGCATACATACCCGTCACAGGTCAGCATCGGATGAAGGGGAAGGAGCCACCAACATTGTCACGCCAAGGGCAATGAAAGCAACACCATTGGGATCAACAAAGGAACCAGGCAAGCTTACGGGCCACAAAAGCCGTTCACTTTGCCACACGCTGTAGAATAGCACATGCTTTCTCCCGCTGAAGCGCAACCCCCAAACATTGGACGAACCGCTAGAGCTCAACAGCTGCACGCTCCCCTGTACGGGCAACAGATGCAGCAGCAAGCTCCTTCCACGTCTTCATAGCTGCAGGTCCCCGACCACCGGAGCACGCTTCAGCCAACAAGGGCAAAAACTGGAGCCCTCTGATCTGCATGTTGTCAAGGTCTGAGGGCGCTGATATTTCCAGTCCTCATAGGCAGCAGCCGCACGGGCGCCATCCGCAGCAGCAACAGCAAGTCCAAAGGCCGCAGGGCCATGCAACCCCCCAGGAAGGCGCCCACACATCCGCAAGCCGACGTCCGTTTGGGCCACCGCAAGGGCCGTCTTCAACACCAATGAGTTCATCAGGGCGTGGGGGCAGCAAGCGACCCTTTTCAACTTCAGTGCGCATCCAACCATTGAAAATTGAACGCTTATGAAACCATGCAGCCGCCTGGGAAAAGTACTTTTTACGACTACACGTGGTGGCATCAAGAAAGCGCAAACACTGTTTCTTGAAAGCCGGGGTGTGGTCACGGTTCTTGGCCCCAGGCTGAGGGTCTGGCCAAAGTAGGAAACCGACTTATCGAAGACACGAAGGCGTCCAGCGGAAACCAAGCCCCGACGCGCTCTTAAAACTTCATCACTGCGCGAATTTCTGGGGAGGCCCTCTGTGGCGAGACCGGTTTTTGCTAGGGTTTTGTGACACCAAAATGAAGGACAGAAACACACCCGAAAATGCAACTTATCTTTTGACATTCTTTCGCCCTTGGTGTGAAAACACACGGACAGCGCAGCAGTCCTTTTCTCAGTCCCGCTCTTGAGCCAAAAGCTCAGCGTTGAAGCTTTCAGCAAAGCGTTCGCGTAGCCAAAAAAGGCCACAAGTCTCTGACTCTTGAGCTACACAGTCCAAAGACTAAGAAAACTCTTTTAAGTACAAGAACCAGCTAAGAAGTCTACCAAGACCACTCTGGTCGAGACTCTCCCAAAACCAAACAGAAAGAAGGAACCAAAA